TAATAATCGATGGTTAGAGACCTTGAATGACGTGGCTCAAAATCGTTCGCAATGGCGCCGGTGCATTTATTCTTTGTGTTGTCTCAAATCCTAATCTTCTGGATTCTTTAACACCTATAGTTTCGACTCTCTTAACTTTTCTCACTGAATCATACTTCTTGAATAATATGTTCTAACCCTAACCTCTCCGATTACTTCTAATTCCCTTAATACCTATACTACTATTGCATTCGAATTGACAATTACTCCTCTTTGCTGATGTGGTATGGCAACATGAACTGATGTACTTACGTACGAAGTTCTACGTTGCATCTGACTGACTGACTGACTATATATCTGCCAGTCAGCAACAACGTAGAACTTCGTGTTTATGTACATCAGCACAAGTTGCCATACTTCATTTCACGTGGTTCTCGACTCATTCGGTATCTTACCAGTATCATGGAATTAGCATAACTCAGCCATTTCCCTTTGGAGAATCCCTGATAATATATCCTTATTCCAGTAAGTCACAGTTTCTTGGACCACATCTTCGATATCTCATCTTTTCTGTTACCAGTGATACACACAAATCCTCTACAATTCTAAGATTTTGCCCGAAAACATCTCTGCGAATAGGCTATGCTGACCTCAGTTGATGTACGAACGTACCAAGTTCTAGGTTACAACCGGTTGACTTCCTTTATCGAAAGGGGGCAAACTAAGTTTGAAATCTAGAACTAATGAAAGGCCCAAATAGAGAAGGTTTTTTATAAGTGGCGGCAACGACCCAACTTTTGTGACAACTAACGCAAATTAAAAATGCTTATCTGATGAAGTTTTTAATGGTATTTGAATTCTGTATGCAAGCAAATCAACCAAAGGTAAATCGATAAGAACCGAAAAAACTCTACGTCAACTGGCTACATTTGAGCCAAATTTAAAAAGGCTCTCAAACTCACTATTAAGAGAAATGTTTGAATACTGGTGACAAAGCCAGCTTTATTTGGTGAATCTTTAGCATATAGTTTTATATAACCAAAATTACTGCTCTTGGTAATTCTGAAAGCGCTGACGCCAATGACGGAAACGCAATTTTGGGTCTGTTTAATGTCCAGCTCTCCAAGTATTATACCATTTATACTACAATAATTCCCCCGTAATTCACGCACCTGAAGTTCGAAAACGTACTATCACTGCCTTGAACTCGTTGGTAATGCATGTATAGGTACTGAAAGTTTTCTTTAACTGTTCTTCGAAAAAGACGTTCTGATGAAAGTCCTAAACTCATGTTATATTAGTAATCATTACCTGGATTCAGGTTCGACGGAAAAAGGATCCTGAAACTACTAATTCGATAAGATTTTGGCATTATTCCTTATTGGTTTGGCAGAATGTACCTCATTCATGCATCTATTTTATATGACTTTTCAGTCTACCGTGCTACACATCCGTTGGTTAAAACTAGCTTATTCAGACTACAAGCGTCTCGACATACCAAATATTCCTTGAAACTTATTTACCTCCGGCTTCAGGTTTCATTAGGTCTGGGACTCTGAATTATAAAGGCGTTACGGACGGAAGTGCAGTTGGGACCTAGATACCTGTTAATTGTTACTCGGAATACTGTATATATCTTTTGTTAAGGAGCCAGTTTCAACTGAAATTCGTCCGTCTGCCTTATGGCTTACACTACCTACGTCGTCTTACGAATCTTCAAATAAATACTGAAAGTCAGATGTTTATTTTTTTCTGGATGAAAAGCCAGCCTTAACTGCTCAGCAGAACTGCGCAAATTTTCGCCAATTTATAACCCGTGATCACAATTTCGCCGAGTATATGAGTGAACATTGAAAATAGAGCACTACAAAATACGCAACGACTAAAAGTGTTATACGATGTTATACCTACGGGAATTGATAAGTTTTTAGTTTCATGAGCAGTAGGAATAGGTACAGAAAAGTATTCCAGGTCTAAATATTGATTATCCATCTGTCATCTAGCCATGGATGTAGACAAGTGTGATGATGAGTATAGACCAAATAATTATAAAGGTATAAATTGATCATTTCACCTAAACACTTTCGGGAATAGTGCTGTACAGTCATTTTACAAAACGACTGCTGCCAGAATAATAGGTTTCTTCCTAGTTTATTGAAGGGGGGATTTTCTTCATTCTTAAAACGAAACAATTCAAACCAATAAATTCGAGCAGGCGCAATCCAGGAATAGTGGATTAATTTGGTATTCACCTTAATGGGAGGTCAAACGAAACCAAAAAATAAAGAAATAGGAGTAACATGGTGGGATAAACACATTTTATTTAAACTGGGTACTAGCAGAGGTAGCGTATTCCAACAAGGCACGCAGCATAGAACTACGATAGAGCGCTACTAAAACACACCAAAACCGAAAAAAAACGTTCGACACCACAAAAGGATTGGTAGTGGTTTTCCTGTACAACGAACAGGATAATAAGAACAACCCTGACAAAACTCTGTACGCATTTCTGAGAAGTAACTGGTCACTGATACTGTCATTTTTTCCACATGAAGACTACTTGTGACTCGCGCTTGTAACCTTGTTTTAACTACCCTTCCAGTCAAGAAATCCTTTTACAAGCTAAACTAGTCTCTGGTGATAAACAAAGCAGCTTTCTGACGACTTAAGTAGTACAGATAATAATTTTTGGTCAGACAAACCAAAAACTGTTTGTATTGAAGCACTGTATGTCCCTCAATATGAAACTCTGTTAGTGTGCTCCGTTATCCACTTTTCGCCACGTTATTGGATTGTTTTTTTCTTGGCTTAGTATATTTGCTTCAACCGAACTTTAATTTTACCATCTGCAACAGATGCCGTCTTCTTCGCTGACTACTTTTCCATTTCCTCTGCTTCAGTATCATTCTGGCACATCAAAAACATTTACGGAACATACAAATAATCTCGTTTTGGAGATTACAGCAAGCTGAATGTGATATTAATCTCTCGGGTAATCCAACCTTCACCTGAAAACATTGATAGATGGAGCAACAATCACACGTTAGGGCTATGATATTCGCTAGTTGACGATTCGACGGGAAAGACAGTAGTCATTTGGCAAGCAATTTCTTCAGTCTATGAAATGTCTAACAGTGCCCTTTTATTTTCTCTGTTCTGAGAGTAAGTTTGATACAAATTTTTCGTTAGGTAGTTTGAAAGCCGTGATTACGTCACCTGTAGTATTTCCGTCCTCTTGAGAATAGCCTAGGGATTTGTTATAGTGATAGTTGAATCCCAAAAACTAAATAGTTCTGTAAATCTGCGACATTAATTTTTACCTCATTAGTTTTACTGGACGCACCCTAACTGAAGGCACTTAATCACACATAAGCACGAGATCACCGTTTGGTACGGCCTGCTAAGCATCTCCTAACATCAGCTGGTGAGCTTAGTTCACTCACTCCTCTACTTCCCAAACATTATTCAAATGTACCTTTGATACTTCTCATTCACTACTTTGAGTTTGTCTCGGCTAAAGGTATTCTCAATCTGAAGGTTGCCACGGACATATTGGTAACATTCTCAGTGCCCTAGATAAATGGTTGCGCAGAAGCTGCAAGAACTCTTGACAGATAACGGCACTAGTGGATGAGTATTTAATTTGGAACTGCAGGTCCATGTTTAAGTTAACTTTTCTGTGTATATATGCTGTACAGTATTTTGAAAGATGATTAATAATGCAATTCATATTATTGATTTCGATATCGAGAATGCTCGAAGAATGCTTTGTTCTTGAGGAAGGTGAGATGTGTAATGATAAGTGGACTAGTGATGAAAGTGATTAGATTTAAAGAGTTATACTTTGTTATCTATAATTTAATTCGGTTTTTTCAGGGTATTGTAATTTAGAAAGAGGAGCCAAGGCTTTGTTGGCTGATATCAGTGTGAAAATGAAGGCAGCGAACTCCGTATAACTAATGGCAAATACTTTGATAGTAGATGCATTTCTGTGGGTTGATAATTGGCCCCAGGACAGCTCTTCATATGGCTTCAGCGGACATCCTACCATATTACCACAAAGTTTATGGGTACAGATATGATTCCGTAGTAATGCCATAATTTGCAAGGAAGTGTCTGTGCAACACTGGTGGTGGCAGAAGATCAAGGACGTTTTGGTTGTTGAGGGATGGTGTAGCTAGGAAAATCTATGTTTGTTGAAGAGAAAGGACGATCTGAGTGACTTCAGGATGATAAAATCACTCAAGCTGTTGTTATTGACCGAGAACGTGACAGGGTTAACTGATACTCTATCACGTGCAACCAACATGATAGATGGCGATAAGCGAACTATTTCGCACAAGCATTCTGGAAGTGATAGTTCGAAGGACATACTTCTTTGCTTCACTGCATATGCGAACGGATACAGTTATGGAGAAGCACAAGTGGAGGTGAAATGCTATTGATATGTTCTGATTTCCTCGATAGTAATAAGTGGTTTTTAGGTCTAGTTCAGTGAAAGGTATCAAGTAATAGTGCATTAGTAAGATAAGTAGAGTTGAGGTTAGGTGGGAAAATTATGGTAAGAAACACTAAAAGGCTGCATCTTTTCGGGGTAGTTGATGGTAGATGACTACCTGGATCCCTAGGATTATCGATGTGAGTCTTAAGAACCGCTTGTTTTCTGTGTGTTCAGAATACTTTTCGAGTGCTCGTAGTTTCAGGAACTCAAAATCTAAGGCGTTAAGGTGGGGATTACGTCCTTCGTATCTAATAGCCACCTCTTAATACTTAGACCGACATTCTGCACAGAAAATCACTATATATTTCTGCAAAGTTATTGTGTTCTGAAGACACTAGGATTTGGAATTTCGTTAATAAAGCTATAAACAATTCCAGTGTCTACCAAACTAGTTTGTCAAAAACTGTTCGAAGCCATGTAAATTAAGGAAAACTGTCAGACAGTGAGACGTTATTACTCCATGACTTATCTGTACTTAGTCTATATTACTTACATCTGCCATTCAGCGCGCGATCCGATGCGCGGAATGAATAATGTTTTGGGTTTTCGACATTCCTTGGTTTTATTTTGTCACGGTTCGATGGATTCTACAGGATTTAAATAAAAATTGTTGATAATTGATATTTGAGAGAGCTTGGTGTATCAAAAAATATCTGTTGATCTGTATGACACTATTGCAAGTGGGTTTTACTTGTTCTTATACTAATTTGGTAATATAATAGTGATCTGGTACTTTATATTGTAATTCGTTATACGGTCATTTTAAGAAAATTAGTTTTATTTGTTCATATCGCACTTCATTCTGGAGTATCATCACTGAATTCGATCACATATTTTTTTGTTCGATATATTTGGAATAAATTTGTTAGTTCTTTTATATCCCTTTACATTACACATCAGTAAGACTGGGATCATTTATTTAGACCTGGCTGTGCAGAAAGATTTGCTTATTTTTTTCCCATTTACTACCAGTCTCACGATAAAAAGTGTGTTCCTTGATGCCATTCGTAAAGCATTCAGTGGATTCTTCAAGGTCTTAAAGCATTGTATTGAGTGTAACTTCTCAGGTAAATATAAACCGAACTACACCATATGTACCTTACCAGGTTAGAGTTTCGCAATCTGCCTGAGCCGACCCCCAATGTCTATCATGTTTTCCACCTGCGTTGTATATTTTTTGGTTTGTGCCACTGACTATTGTTTAAAGAAGTAGCACTTATGTTGCAGGCTTAACTAAACTTTGATGATGATCGCATCCAATTTTCTTGTCTTTGTTTATGAATGTCTGCTCTGTGGAAAACTTGATTTTTCTGGAAGGTCTGGAAGGTCAGTATGCCTAAATAATTTTGTCTTAATAATAAAACAGGGACCTACATTTAATGTTGATTCTACGTTTTACAAGCAACTAATGGTCACCGCACAATAATTATTTTGACATTTACTCTTTGAATGCACTTTAGTTTCCCCATTGCTGATAATAATATGAGCGCTCTGCATTACATGGCAGGGTATACTTCATTATGCTGCGTTTTCTTCAGTTTTGTAATCACCTTTATAACATAACATTTTAAACTGAGAGATTCTGTGTTGATGTCTGTGGTCGCAAACAGTAGCAATATGTTCGTAAATCTACTATAGTTCTTATAATCGATTAATACTGGTTAATTCTGGCATACTAATAGACATACCGCCTTTTTTGACTAAATTTATAGAAGTTTCACTTCCACCTGCAGATTTTCTCATCAGCTTAGATTGCTCTAATTTCATAGTTATGCTTGTTTAACGCTCTGAAAAAATTCACTCTTAGTTAAAAGTTTAAATTGGTGCGCTTAACATGAAGGATGTAGTTCGGAATATGTCGGACTGGATAATTATGTCATAATACTTAAACTGGAGATCTAAAAAAGGTAAAATTTAAGTACACTACTGAACTGAACGCTGATCCATGCCGTGTAAAGTCTGTAACCATGTACCATAACCTTTTCGTAAACTGAAATCAGGGACAGTGTATGTTTTAATATAACTCAGTCCAGTAACAAATGACTGCATGAGCTGATAGTACGTCTTTCACTAATTGCCTCTAGAGCTTTTCAATTTATTTTTGCCTCAGAACTTGAGGCCAAAGTAGACAACTCTGTTTCATAAAGTACATTTAAGCTAAGTACAAAGGTAAAAGCTGATGAACTATCTATGGCTATTAGTCCTAACATAATTTAACTCGGAGCTTCCGCTATACGTAATTAGGTACTTACAACTCACATTTCACAGTTATTTATTTTACAGTTATAGCGTATTATCAAAGAATCTGCGATGTATTATACCCAACGTTTTATGGTAAAACAGACACAGTTTTATAACACAGGCGACACAAGTTATTAAAAGCTACTAAAAGTCGCCTTTTGTATTTAAGCGTCCAGATTTTGGTTGCTTCCAAGCTATTAATGTTAAAGCAAAGCATATTATGCATTCAAACACAATGATTTCATAGATTTAGTGAGGTTAGTTGTTTTTGTTGACAATGTTTGAACAACACAATCTATAACATATATTATGCGTTGGGATTTCAAGTTACTTTGTCAACTTCAGTGACGAGTACTGCCTTCATGATTGCAAAAAATAGAAATTATTATAAAAGAGTTGGCAACACAAACAACTGATATGGAGGGTAAAGAAAGAAATCACTGTTAAACATGGCAAATCCACGTGTTATTATGTACGTATTTGTCTGTAACTGTTGTCGTTAATCAGAACCATCGCTAAGGAACAAAGGGTTCCTTTTGTTCTCTCCCTAGCTTCAAAAAGGATATAATAATGGAGATATTGATCATCACTAGGTACAAAATCCCTGCCTCCTAATCTCTAACCGACATACTTCAAGTAGCATAAACAAGTGTTTTGTCCAACAGAAATCGTTTGTGTTATTGCAATGCAAGATCACCTTGTCGAAACAGCATTATTATTTTGACTTGCTTTGTAGTCTCTCTGGATTCATGATAACCATATATCATAAGAATACTTCTATAAACATATATGTAGGTGGTGCTTTTTAAGCTACTGAATTTCCTGAATAAAGGCGACCTGCTATAGTCAAACTGGTTAGTGATGGTGAGCGTTGATACACGATTTGGTCGGTCGGTTGTTTAGTCATGTTAGAAGGTAAAACACCTAGTGACTTAGCTGTCGTATTTATTAGACTTACAGTTTAAAGTGTAATTTTTCATCATTCTTTTAGACTATGTTATATTTTTAAAATACGTTTACTACCTTCGTCGACTGTGGTTAATACTTAAAACTCGAATAAAACCGGGTTGCTTTTTCACTAGATAATGCTTTCACTTGTTGTTTTTATGAATTCTTGTTAGTTTGATTTGGATAGGAATCAGCATTGTGTTCATGCCTCGTTTTGGTAATATCCTTGCAGTTCTAATATCTAATGAGTTTACACTAGCGACACAATTTGAAAACTTATATATCCTCCAGTGGGAACGCTTTAACATGTTTCTTGCTAGTCAGCCGTTTATTCGCTTTTGTAAAGCCTTGTGTTCGTAAACTAAGTTCATCGCAAAGTCGACAGAAATTAGTAGCACACTTTGAGTTACTGTTAACTACTTTCATGATGTTTAAGTACACAAATTAGTTAGTATTAGTATTAGAAATAAGTGCACTGGATAGCAAATTCAAGTATCATTCACATTTCAAGCGCTTATAATGGAGGTGGAAATTTGAAATATAACTTGTCGGCAAACTAATTTTTAATCATAAGTTTATCCTAGTTTTAATATACGATTAGAAAATTCTCGATTTCAATTCTGAACAGTGTATATTTATTTTGATGAGTTTCTAAAAAGCAAAGACTAGTTTTATCCAAGGTGAAAACTGTATTCAGAAATGAAACGAATATGTAAAAGAAATTTGGGTAAGCCCTGACTGGCGAAGACCTAGGATGACACTTAAATAGTTGAGGAACTATCCTTCGTTCAATTTACACTCTATTTTTATGTCTAATGGATAATAAAATTTATTTATATAAGTCAATTCCCAGAATATATATATTTATATATACATATAAATGTATATACATATATATATGTGTATATACATATATATATATACATATATATATATATATATGTATATATGTATATCTGTTTTTTTCAGTAACGGCAAACATCAGTATTATTACATCTTTTCTGGTTGGATGTGAAATTCTGACCAAACTTCATGTGGTAGAAAATAGTTTTTTGGTGTTTAGTGTTATTTCCTTCTTCATTGTGATGATTTTATGTTTTTGTAGATGAGCGGTCAAACCAGACTGGCAACTAACCATGGTTCTTTAAAGTTGCAACCGTTCATTGTTAGTGAAACAATTAATTTAACAAAGAATTGTGGCTTGCTTAAAACGGGCGATGAGTCTGATTTTTACTTATCTCCACTACCTACACTATTGAATGATGAAGCTCCGGTCAATAATAACACTATTCCTGGAATGCAAGAAGTTTTTGACAAGCTGGCATCACGTCCTCATCCATCTCCGATCTTGGCGGCCACGCTTACGAAATTCGGGAGTCATATTGATGTTTGCCAAGATCCAGTTAGCAACAAGAGTTTATTGAACTCAAACACATTACATAGTCATAACGGTTCTGATTTATCAAGAACGTCACAAGTTTACTTAAAATCACAAGTTGAGAACTCCTCTTCGTTTATTGATTTGAACGATTTTCCATCTAGTCCTCTATCCGGTGCATTTGCTGATTTTCAGTCACTAAGATATGTCCCTCTAAGTTTAGATTGTTCTTCTTCAGCAAGCATTTCACTGTCAACTGCAAATTCAGTACTCGATCAGTGTGTTGATGAAAATGATTGTTTACCGGTTTACAGTAATTGTCCTCCTAGTCTTGAAGAGGAAGAAAGTGATTTGGTGCCTAGTGAACTTGTTCAATTCGTTAGTGAATCTACACGTCAGATACCGAATGATTTGGTGGATGTTGTTTCTGCCGGAGATTCTGATATCGAAAATATAGATCATGAAGCTCGATTAGCTTCCCTGTGTATACCTATCCTTCGCTCACCATCACTTGGACATTCTCATATGATAGAAAATGCACGGCCACCTACACTATCACCTGAATCATCAGGTTGCCCACATTCACCTTTTGATCATATTGACATTTCATCAGATCCAAGTTATGATAAGTCTTATTTTACTCAAACTCCTGACTGTGTGTCCGACAATATAACTAAACAGCAAATTCTTTCTCCAGAATTACTATCTTTACCTCATGGTAGGTCATCTGATGAGCTTATGTCTTGTAACGACAATAATCTTTCACATAACATAGATCCTTTAATATTAACATCACATGTTAATACTTCAGATTTTATTTCTACTAACAATCACTATACATGTAATTCTGATCACCCGGATTTAATAACAAACTGTTCAAGTTGTGTCATGCATTATTCTACCTCTGAGTTATCTGAACATGAAATATTACCGACCAAAGTGTGCAATGAATACAAAGTTACACTATCTTCATTATCAACATCAACATCTGCAGAATCATCATTACTCTCAAACAATGTTCGTCTAAATCAAGTTGGACCTTTTACACAACAATCACTTCAAAATCATTTCATAGTGAAAGATGTAATTAATCACCCGAACACAAGCGTCAATAATCTAAGTGATTTTCAGTGTATTATTACTAATACAAAATGTACGCCCTCTGTTCCTTCATCGAGTGTAGATGAAAGACGTACTGAGACATTGAAGGTTCCGTCAGTTGTTAATGTGATATGTACTCCGAATGTTGAAGGGAAACAAGTGAGTTAAAGCAAATATCACATTTATTTATTTGACTGAATTTACTCTTAGATTGTTAAATTCATTGTGTACCGTTAATTTTGACTATTTTCTTTTCTATCCGATTTTGAATTTAGTACAAAAACTAGATTAGTCATTGAATTTATTTGATGGTTAGCTAAGATAATCAAGAAATATGAAGATCATTTAAACCATCTGACTGGCTGATTTGCATTAGGTGACAAAATTTATAAATGATCAATCCATTCATTTTTATTGGTTGTTAGAATATTCCCATTGATATTAAGGACTGCAATTGATCACTTTCTTTTGAGAAGTGTACAACCTGTGGGGATTTTATAGATTTTGCCATCAGGTCATAAGCATTATAAGCAGAGATGGGTGGTTGCTAGCATTGGGACCCAAGACACGCGTTTCGTCCTATTTGGGACTGAAGTAAATATCAACTGTGCGATGCAGATTCACCCAGCTGATGAGTTTCAGGTAGGACGAGATATTCGTCCTAAATTCTGATGCTAAATTACCATCTCATAATACAGTGACCGATGCATAAAACTAGAAGTTCATCCTGAAATATTAAAACTATCAGCAGAGTATTTAAGAGTCGTCTATGTTATTCACACTTTGAGATGAATGCATAATCAGTGTACAATGTTTTTTTTTTAATTCAGGAGAAAATATTTGTATTGTCCTGCAGGCGCTGTTTTGTCTTTGCATTTTTTGAGGTACATGTTTGTTTTTCAGGCCATATATAATTGGAAAAGTTAGTTCACAAACATCGCATATTTTCTCACATACTTGATTAGACGTGCTTTACGAGTAATAGTAACAACTTGAAGATTGGGACTGGTAAACCATAGTATGTAATGAATTTCATTCATTTGTCATAATTTTCAAGATAATCAGTTACTTCACATCAATTCATTGTGATACATATACAGCACAAAACATTGTTAGTATATGTAGGGTATAAAACTAAGTTAGTTACTGACTTTTGTGTTTATTTTTGTTAGGGAACAGCCATTGTATACTGGATTGATGGTTAGAGTTGAAAAGTATGGAGGATAACATAGGTAGGATCACGATCCATCGATCGAACTCGGAAACTGAATTAATAACCAGAGTTACTTCACTTCAGCATGGTCATCAAACAAATCAAGAGGGGCAAAGCAGTGGGAACAGATAAAATTCCAGCAGAGGCACTGTAAGCAGACGTAGCAGTAACTGCGAAAAAACTCCACATTCTCTTCAGCAATATTTGCGATGAATAACAAGTACTAACAGACTGGAAAGTAGGACATCTAATCAAAATATCAAAAAAGGTAATCTCAGCAAGTAAGTAGTGAACTACAAAGGCATCTCTTCTCTCAGTACCACTCAAAGTTTTCAACAGGGTGTTTTTAAACAGAATGAAGAACTTCGTATGCACCCAGTTCCGAGATCAGCAGGCTGGATTTCGTAAGGATCGATGGTGAACGGACTAAATTGCAATATTACGGATTGTTGTGAAACAATCAATTGAATGAAAATCACCACTGTACATCAACTTCATTAACTACGAGAAAGCGTTTGATAGCGTGGACAAGGAAACACTATGGGGGCTTCTTCGACACTATGGCGTACCTGAGAAGATAGTCAACAGCATACGGAATTCTTATGATGGATTAAACTGCAAAATCGTACACGAGGGACAGCAGGCAGACTCGCTCCAGTGTCAGATAAGATTGCTTTTTCTCACCCCTTCTCTTTCTCCTGGTGATCGGCTGGATTATGAAGACGTCAACACCTGGAGCGAAGCACAGCATACAGTGGAAGGCTATAATGCACCTGGACGATCTTGACTTCCCAGATGATTTGGCTCTTTTATCGCACATGCAATCACAAATACAGAAGAAGGCCAGTGCATCAACAGCCTCAGCAGCAGTCGTTTTCAACATAGACGTGGGCAAAAGCAAGATCCTCCAACACAACACAACATATATCAACCAAATCACACTTGAAGGAGAAGCCTTTGAAGACGTAGAAACCTTTGCATATCTGGGCGGCATCATTGATGATCAAGGAAGATCTCATGCAGATGTAAAGCAGCGGATTGGTAAAGCAAGCTTAGCATTTCTTTGATTAAAGAACACCTGGAACTCGAAAAAACCATCAACCAACTCCAAATTCAGAATTTTCAATGCAGATATCAAGGCAGTTTTACTGTATGGGGCTGAAACTTGGCGAACTACGATAGCCATCACCTGGGAGATACAAGTGCTTGTTAACAGTTTTCTATGCAGGATACTGACCAGACGCTATCACCACGACCTATGAAAGAGAACAAAGCAAATTCCAACGGAGAAAGAAGTCAGGAAGAAGCATTTGAAGATGATAGGAAATACATTGAGGAAAGAACCCGACCAAAAAACTCATTACGCTAAGCAATTGAAACAGACAGAAGAATGAAGAACATTTGGGTGGAACAAGAAAGGAAGGCTCAGGGCAGAGTAGATTGAGGAATGCTGGTCAGCGGCCTAACATTCCTAAGTTAGTAAGTAATTTCACTTCAGGCCAAATGTATAACGTTCCTAAGGAACGAAATATTTATTTCAAACTCGTCAGTGAGTATGACTTATATTGTTTTGACTATTCAGTGATTGTGGTTAATATATTCGAGTATATTTTACACAGTCAATCCTTCTGGCTTCGATTTTCAAGTAAAAATCAACGGTGTTTACATTTTATTCACGTCTCGTATTATATAGATATAAAGATACTGTTACCGTACTAATTTCATTCTGTTTTCCTAATTAATTTTTAGTCCATGTTTTCCTCGAAACAAGATCTTTGTGAACGTGTTGATTCCATCATTGGTGGGAACTACCATCAGGATAAGTCACCGTTTCCCGAGCAGATTATAAATATAGATCCTGAAGCAACCATTTCCGAATCACATTTCATGCCAAATCTTAGGTTTGCCACTTTAATGGGATCTGGTTCTCAAAATGCACCATCGGTAACTATATCTCAGAGCCCTTCTTCCTCCCTTCCTTCCTTCGATCAAGTCCTTTCATCCAGTGTTAATCGGGAATCAATTTGTGAGTCAAATAAATGTGGTAAGCAACTGGTAGTTCCTTCTCAAATGAAATCTTTGATTGCAACTCCCAATGATCACCCATTTACTTCCAATCCTTTTACCACTTCATGTTTTACAGAAAATGGTTACATTGATGGTTTAACGTCGATTAGTTCTAAAGAAGGGAACTCCATTACTCATACTCCTTTAATACTACCAACTCCAAGTTTTCATGTAACACACCATCCTGCTAGCACACAATCTACATTTGTTGTCTCACACCCTGTTACTCCTGGTGTTATCTCTCCTGCAGAATTACAATCATCTGCTCCTATTGTTTTATCTCTTAAAGGTAGAGCATGTGTAGAAGCACCTCAGCCACAGGTTGCAAGTTTACCAACTAGTTCTGGTTGCGTTCTCTTACCGTTGCAAGTTATAAATTCTTTACCAACTGTAAATCCTGGAATGTCTTTACTTCTAAATGTTAAAAATAGTAATGTTGTACGACAAAATTGCACACCATGTCTTCCAAATTTTACTTCAGTTAATAATACTGTTGCTTCAGATAATAGTGGATCGGTTTTTCTTCTTTCAACTCCTGGAATTGTTACAAATCTTAATAGAAATGTTTCTAGTATTCCAGTTGTACAACTGCCGACACAACAACATGTTAATTTAATTCCATCTACCTTGTCTACTCCTATGCTATCTAATTCCAATGTATCAACTTTTCGGAGTTCATCTACATTACCAAATAGTTTTAACACTATCCCAGGTGATATAAAATATTCAAACACTGCACAATTACCTTTGGGAACACAACTTTTTATTCTTCGTTCAACATCGAAACCAACTATTATTAATCCTACATATTTGAATACTTCTTCTTTATCTGTAAGTACAGTAAATGGAATGTTTAATTCTTTACCTATTTCATCTACTGCTACTGGTTTAACTGTAGTGCTAGCTAATCCAACTCCTAATAAATTTTCTGAATCAGGGAATGTAGTTTTTCTTCCAACAGTATCTAGTAGATCAAACATATTTCCATTATGTACTACGGACCCATTGACATCCATTTTTTCATCGGCATCATCTTCATTTATAACAACGAAATCATCATCATCATCGTTATCGTCACCATCCTCATCATCCTCGTCATCATCATCATGGACAAATATATCAACATTAACCAATCATGATATTAACAATTTAGCTAGTAATTCCACAACATTAAATTCATCTCCAATTACTACTACAAATACATCGGATATGAATTTTAAAACTTCAGTAGATACATCAAATGAGACATCGTTATCTTTTCCATTAACTTTATTATCTAATACTCCTCAACAAACAATGATTTTATCATCTCAACCTTGGATTTCATTTTCTTCATCTGGTGATAATCATAATAATAATAATAATAATGTATTTACACCATCACAAAATTTCAATACTCATACATTTCTTTCACCTTCAGCAACTACATTATCAGCGTCATTATCATCTGTGTCTTCCTCTTCATGTAAATCATTGGATAATAATTCTTTACCTTCTTCTTCCATTTCATGTTCAAATGGTAGTTTAGAAACATCCAAATCTAATCATTCTATAACTTCTAGTTCAATAATAGGCAGTTGTCTGCCTCCTACAGTCTCTTCATTATCCTCTATTATTGTTAACGGTAGTAATAAAGATAGTAAAGCTGGTACATTCTGTACTTCAAAAAACCAACAGAATGATGTTAAGACAAGTGTCATTGTGTTGCCTTCTGCAGATAAGTTACTTTCTTCGCGTAATTATTCACAACTATCCAACTTAGCAACTCAACAAAATAGTAAATATCAGGATGTAAAATGTAGACGTTTGTCTTATTCCTGTCCTAGTACACCTTCCATTCCATCCACTACTGTTTCTGTGTCTACCACCTCGTCTGCATCACTACAAACCAATGTGATATCATCTACGAGTATGGTTACGTGTTGTTCAAGGCGTAGACATCAGTGTCCTTATTGTCCAAAATCTTGTGAGAGAAAGGATAATCTTCAAGCTCATATCCGTACTCACACTGGAGAACGACCGTATCCATGTCGTTATTGTCCTAAAGCATTTCCTCAGAAAGATCATTTACGAGCTCATATTCGCACACATACAGGGGAAAAACCTTACAGATGTCCACAATGTCTTAAAGCATTTGCTCAACTGGGTAATCTTCATCGACATGTTAAAACTCACCGTCGATAAATTTATTTTATAAGGTAAGTTTATATCTTTTATTGTTTTTTTGTTGATTAAATGTCATAATATCAGTTTGTTTTACTCAATATCTTTGAGAGTAATTTAGTGTTAGAAAAAAATATGATTTTTTTTGGCTTTCGTACTGTAAACATGAGATAAGAGTTATGCTTTAAGTTGATCTTGTTGAATTCGAATTTGAATATCATCAGAGCATCATCTGAATGCTAATATCATTTCGTTCGATTTTCCTCATTTTTCCAATCTCATGTTGTGGGAGCATTTAGTTCCATTATTCTTGATTCATAAGTTATGTAAATTCTTCAATATATTGAGATAGAACGCTATGATTTTCTGATCAGTTATATTCTGATTGAACGTAAGTTTTATGTTCGTAATCTTTATTCAGAAGTGCATAGAGTTCAGTGAATACCTATTGATATAGCCAGAACAACAGTTGATCATAAAAATTCATATCTGTTTTGCATAATCACATCGCATTCGAACAAATAATTCCCAAATATCAAACTAATGTTTTAGATGATTTATTTCATACTGTTACTCGAAAAGCTGCTTATTTATCAAAGCAAATAACATGGAAAAGAGATCGGAAAATAAGTTTTCCGGCTTTATCAATTGAGTACTCATCATATAACAATGTGAAGTCAGTGTAATGAAGTCGTTATGAACTAGCATGATTTACAAAACAGAACAACATTTTATTTAATATACCTGCAATGAAAGGTATATTAAATTCCTGAAACTACTGTAGGTTTCTATCTTTTTAAATGCTGTTTACCTTTATTTAAAATCAATGACATTCAGTTACCAAATAGTTCGTTCTATTGTCTCGGAAAAATTTCAAAACATAACTGTTTTGTGAGATTTAAAATTCACTATTGCTTTAAATGAAATTAAACAGAATAAGTTCTAACTTTAAACATTTAGCAAACAAAATAAGTATATAAAATTTTCCCATTCTGAAGATTTGTATTTTAATACTGTAAACACAGTTTTAGCGAATATTAAATGTAATAAATGTATTCGTTATTAGAATCAGTGACCACTTTCATGAATCAGTCAATGTAGACGTTGCTTAAGTCCTAACTGTTCACAGTTAATTTAATTTTTCGAATGTATTACTTTCATTCATCATTCTTGATTTTATGAAAGCTGAAACACCACATTTTTATAGAAATTTTTTATTTTCAATTTATAAGAATTCTGCATTGTTGATAGTGCCCTTTATAATTCAACAGACTTGTGATTAAACGAGAAAAACACTTAACAACTGGATTAAGGATCCTGCTGTGATTATTTTCAAATACGTCATGTACTATATATATATAAATATATATATCGATTAGTAGTGATGTAAACAAAATAGGAAAAAAGCATTTGCCAACTAAATGGGAGAAAAACATTAACCCTTTTATTCTCATTTTTCATCTATCAGTGTGGTAGAGATTCAGTTCAAACAGAATTTATGAAATACATATCTGCTTTAAGTACGGATGAATGTATCAAAGTTAGGTGTTGGATTTAGGAATTAATTTTCGATCAATGCAGTTAGAAACAGTATTCCACATGGCTATAATCACCGACTGTCAAGTTTCTCACTTCCACTTCTAAGTAATTTTCCAACTACTCACTATGTTTGAGTAGTTTAATTCATTCCACATATCTGGTGATTGGTCAGTAAATACTGAGTAGTGACATTTTCATTTCAGTCATTTGTAATTTTATTCATAATAAGAAATTAGGTAGTGATGAAGATCACAGGTAATAAAGTTTACTATCACCGTTTGCTTATTACCAAATCTAGTGTTACTCTTGCTGATCAGTTGTCTCTTCTGAAATGATATACTCATACTCGACAGATTCTTAGTTTTCTTTTATAATTCTATTCAAACACAGACTCAATCAAACCATCAATTTCGATTGTCAAACAAAATTATACATGCAAAACTGATAGATCAGCGTAATAAGACACCATTTTTGATAGACTGATACACTGAAATTAACTATAGTAGATTTTAATCGATTTACTAAAATGTCAGTTATTAGTAGCCAGGTACAACGTAGAACTTCGTACGTATGTACATCAGTTCAGGTTGCCATACCGCATTAGAACAGAGACGCAACTGTCAATTCAAATACCATAGTGGTAAAGATAGTAGCAGTATTTACAGTAATGGAGAAGATTAGGTTTTGAAGATATTATTCAAGAATTATAATTCAGTGAGATAAATTTAGAAAGAGAAAGATAAAGGTGATGAGGAATTCAGAAAATTAGAATTTCATAGAACACAAAGAGTGGATGCACCTGCGCCATTGCAAACGATTCTGAGCCATATCGTTTAAGGTCTCTAACCATCGGTAACTTTCGTCTTGTGGACTCCAACCAGGTAGCCTACATTACCAACATGACTCAGTCTACTTGTCAGTGACTTCATGGATTTGTGCCATGTTTTAGTTTGGCCGCCCCTAGCTTTCCTTGCATCAGTTTTCTTAAGCAGTCATTAATCAAAACAGTTGTTATTGATTAATGTAGATCTTGAGAAAATTCTATTTACCACTATAATAGCCAGTGTTTAGTTCCAAAATTGTATGGAATGAAATTTCAATTCTGTAAAAGTTAAGGAAGCTAAGGAATTTATTAGCTTTTTATAAACTGATGCAATATTTTACAAAATAAATGAATTTTGGCTAACAATCAAATCTAGCGACAAAATTCTTTGTATTCAATTCATAAGTAAGATGGATATGAATTCTTGTATTGGTGTTCAAATCAGGACTCGAATCCAGCACTTTTTACTTCAAACACCAAATCCTTATTCATTAAGATGCTGAGTCGAGATACGCACTAGTTTGTTTAACAGATATAATGTTTATGTCATTATTAATGGCTCGAAATCTCGATAATATGATATTATTTTCATTGGGATTCACATAAATTTCATTGAAGGAATACTGTGTGTATTCTTGCTTGAGCCTGAATACAATATGTAGACATTTCGATCAGTTGTATATTAGATTTCGATTTGTGTTGTTATATATCAAACTTTATAGCTTAAAAAAGGAGTAAAAAATTGTATCATAAACGTCCACTTACACTTACATTATTATTATTGTTATTTTCAACTAACTATACACCAGTATATCTATGAGCAAATAAGAAGTGTCACTTAAAATTCCTATGTTTTGTACATTCATGCAATTCACTAATCTTAAACAGAATTATCAAAAGTGAACTGAAAACCTTTAGTAATACATTTATGAAATCCTGAATTCATTTTAATTACATATATTCACTACAAGTTTATTAAAATTGTTTTGCTATTTTTCTCTTTCTCTCTCACTCTCTCTTTCAGATTCAATATCATTCAGACTGGCATTCTATGTGTATAAACTTCTTTATTCCATTCTACCATATAAAAAAAATATGGTTCAGTCAACTAATTCATTCGTAGCAATTAATTAGTAGCAATCAATAATGCATTTACTACTCTTATATTCCTTGATTTTTTTTTTATCTAAACTCTGATTTCAAAAATACTTCATTATTCAAATTGATTATTTATTTCTTGATTCTATCTGTGTTTTTTTTTATTTTATTCTGTAGTTTCATTCAGTCAGCTTTACTGATTATCATCACTGGCTACTACTCTTACTCCTACTCCTACTACTATTACACTTTCTTACAACTTCGATGAAGTTGTTTTGTTTCGTTTTTTCTTTTTTGTTACTGAATGTTTTCATTTTGTTCTAATTTTTTTTTTTCATGAAGAGAAAAATTAAAACGAAACTACTGTTTGATCTTGTTCTGGTTGTTGTTGAGTCTATTATTAACTAAGGCGAAGTGTGAATTTATATCTATGTCTGTCTGAGAGACTGTTTCCACAACAACAACAAAAAAAAGCTATCAGATTTAATTTCAACATTAAAATATCTAATGTATATTGTTCAATCTGCTCAAGAATTTAATATCTATCTAATTTGATGCTTATTTGTTGGTGCAATACTAATTAATCATGAAAGTTATTGTGTATTTACAGTGAATGAATTCTATTCTCATAAACCATTTGTTTAATTTAGAAAAAGTAAAAAGATGATGTACTATTTCAGCTTCATTTCCAACCTTATCATCTATCCTTTTTATAGAATGAATAGTTAGTTATATTATTTATGTGTCTTAATTTCAATTCTTTTTACATGTGCTTAAGTGAGTGTTCTTCTAATTTTGTGTGTTTATCTTTAACTAATAATTTTGAGTGATTATAGATGATGGGCTGTGATGCATATATTATTCTCTTAATATATACATACATACATATATGTATTATTTATTGAACCAAACTTTAGTTTATTTCAAATATATTGATTTGCAACTCCTAACCTAACCCTAACCCTCCCTACTCAAACTGCCAAATTGTCATTTATTTGTTTATCCAATGATGATAATTTACTTTGTTGGTATACATTCTTCCTTACCAAATGCTTTTACCTCAGTGTTTTTATTTATTTTTAATGCATGTTTACAAATAATGCAACGAAATCTTTTGATATTTATTTATAAATAGACACACGCATCCAGACACACATACACACATACACACAGCTGTGTTATGTGATTATGATTCAATGTTATTGTGCAATTTTTTTTTACACTAATCCCCACTGTGTTATTAATTATACGCGTACAACTACATACAAATGTACTACTGATCTCATGACTTTTATTTTTCCTCTCACAATCAGCTCGTTGTTATTTATTTATAAATGATAATAATACTATTAACAATAATTATCTCTTTCCCTCTCTCTATATATATATTTTTTGTATTATTTCTTATCTTTTCATTCATTCATTATTTCTTGATTCTTTTAAATTTTGTAATAAATAGCATTTGACAAATTGATCAAGACATAATAATAATTCATCATGACTAGTGTTCAGTTGTTTAGATATTTTATTTTATTTTATGTGTGTGTGTGCGTGCGTGTGCGTGTTTTGTATATTTGTTTATGATCCAATCAGTGCTTATAAAGAAATAAAATTCCTTGAAACAACTGGAATTCCACTTCTTACCTGCCTATTAGAATAATTGTAAAATATCTTTATATCTATATATATATATATACATCTATCTATATGAATCTTATAAATATGCATGTTAATTTGATGTATTATCAAAAAAGAAAAGGTTGTTACTGTTACTTACTTTTCATATCATTTGTTTATTGATAATAATTCAAGTAGACCATACATTTATATACAAGTGTATTACCATTATTACTATTATTATTATTATTATTTTTCTAGTATTTGTTGTCTAAGTGATTTCTAAGTGTTGAAGTATGGCAGCCTTTTCGTATATATAATCATAGATACTGTATATTTATGGTAAACAGTTGAATGCACATTATTGTTTCAACTTGAATATTAGTTGTGTTCTTGTATTTCTCTTGTTAACACCTCATATGAATTGAATATGTTTGTGTGGATGAATGTTCGTGAGTAAGCTTCTACTTTCTGTACATTATTTACATAGAATTAGTTTTAATTATATATATCGTCCCCCCAATGATTGTTAATGTAATTCCCTACCTGTTCCAACATTTTGTTTTATGTGAGCGAAAATAAAAGAAAATTAAAGAAATATTCCGTAATTTTCATTATTTCCCCGTTTTCTCTAGGGGGTTACTGTTCACTTATAATTATTTTTTACTGTTTATTAGTGATTATAGCATCATTATGATGATTACATAAATATATATATCGTTCGGAGTAAGTAAAGAGCTACTAAAACGTATCACCATGTTATAAAATTTTCCACTTACTATTTGTATTTTCACCCACTGAGTACACTTGATTTGATTGTTGAATTTCTTTCCATCTGATAAATTTGCTTTCTCGATGATGTTTTTCCCCTTTTCTCTCAATGATCATAGTTTATGTTTCAGTGTGCACACACATGCATCAAGATACAACACACCCACTTAATTTACACAACGTTGTGCAAAGTCTTATTCCAGTTTTACCTGTATTACTCTTTCTTAAACAGATGGTTCGTGCACAACACATACAACACGTGATATAAGTTTCTACTTTGTACCAATGATTCTTTGGTTCAATTTTACTTCTTAATACATATATATATATATATTTATAAATATCTTTATGTCTATACTCTTATTCTTCTTCTTCTTCCTCTTCTAATGAATAAAAGATGTTTCACATGTCGATCTTCCATGCTTAGTTAAGCTTTTCTGTTGTTTATAAATGTTAATTGATTCTTTTTGTTGTCAATCTAACACATCTTACTTTCTTCTTATGGTATTAAACAGAAAATATATTCTTTTTCTTGTTCAACGTAATATTTCCTCCCTTGTACTTCACTTTCATCATGCAAATAATCCTTCAAAATAAAGAAAAAATACACTCATTCATACAAAAATAAAAAATTACTAAATATATATATACATATATATATGTATGCATATATAGATAATGTGTGTTCAATTAAATTCAAAAACAAAATGACGTTGAATGAACAATTGTGTCTGAGGGTTCCGTTTATTTTAAGAATAATCAATACAAAGTAGAAATTGTCCACTACATTGTGGATATTAAGTTCTGCAGTAAAAATCGACTATTTAGTGGGATGACCTTTACAGATATATATATATATATATATATATATATATATATATATATATATAAACTGGTTTATTCTCATTATCATTCATCTCAAAATGATATTAAAAGTTGATTGTTGAGATGAGCAAATTTAACATACTGATAAATCTAAGTCAACTAAACAAATGTTTACCTACTGTAGCAAATTGTGTCAGGGATTCTTATATCAAGCAAGTAATATGATTGTGGGATAAGATTCCTATATTAATTCGGGAATAAATTTCTGTGAAATTGAAATCTATAATTTTTTGAATGATAGATTTAATATTTCACAAATTGGATTTAATTCATGCAGTCTTCTGTCTCTGAAGTCAATAATAATATCAAGAATAACATTGTAATACATCTTATCAATCACTCACAGCCTGCATACTTGAGAATGAAATTGACTTTGCATTTCATTTAAGCTGTAAATAATCACATTATTTATCAAATTGGTTCTGACAGAATATACATCTTTCCGTGATTGATATTGAACAGCAGTTAATTTTTCACACTACCAACCTGCATTTGAGCCTACCAGTTAACTTAAGCGTACAAAAATAACTTTACTGAACGAAGTAATGTTCTTGCGTACAGATGTAACATGTTGTTTACGGTAACCATCATTAATAAAGACAAGTGACGATTATCCCTTCTGCCTTCAGTGGTTGGGATTCACAAGTGTCACACAGAGATTAGATCATTCGACGAGATATGTGGCTTAAGTGCATTAGAATTATAAGTTTACCCTGGTTTTCGCTTATATCCGGACTAAACAATGTTTTTTTAGTAAAATTCATTTAAGAGTATTCCTATCTCTAAGCTGCTACTTCGATATTGTATCGTGCTTAAACTGTTAAGTTCAAGGGTTTCAGATTAATCTGCGGTTATTAAATATATCGACATAGATCAAATCTGTCTATTCATACAGTAAATATATGTCAAGGATATGCTTATAGGTTGATAGGATAACACAGATAGTGAGGATGCAAAAATGCACGAAAGCTATGAGTTCTTCAGAAACAATTCCTTACAAACACAGAAGGAAGGACTGATTTAGTCATAGCTGAATAATAATGCTTGATGTAGTCACTGATGATATTGTCTAGAACAATGTGTCAAAAGATAAGGCATTACTCTAAGAAGAATGAGCCAAAAACACTTGAGATTTATGATGTGTGCCTAGTTGTCACTATTTGTAAGAATTTTTCTCCGCAGTCATACTTTACTGATGTAATTATATTTATGTCTGTATTGATCAAAGGAAACTTGATGAGTTATTTTATGCAGCTAATTTCTTTCTGTGCTAAACATATGGACCTAAGTAAGGCTATCATTCTTAATGCTATAAGAGAAGAGATGAGGTTGTTGGAAAGAAAACGTAATCAATTATAGACAGTTTGTATCTATGATTAATGCAACTGATATCAAACCACTGAGTGGGACTGGACTTCTCTATATTGAAAGTAAGTTTATAATGTAGTTTGGAGCTAAGTGAACTTGTCATAATATTCCATTACTTTGCCGAATTTCTTGATTGATTACTTTCGAACAGCATTAATTATGATTTTAAAATAGGATGACTTAGGTTATTTGTTCAGTTGGTGTTTTACAAACATAATAAACTATGTTGTACTCTCTTCGTAATACTCGATATAAGTGGTGAAGTGAATCCCAGTTGAATCAATGAGTTTAGTGTTACAGGTAGAAACGATCAATTCTTTGTGATTGTTTCTAATGATTTCAAGTGTTGTGGCACAAAATAACCCGACAACTTTGTGAAAGTTTATACTATGTTTAATAGATGAATACAGTAAATAAATGTTCATTTGGAGATAACGGAATGTGACAGATAATTTCATATGTTTATCTGTTATTCAGTTTGAAAGGACATAGTTCGCATATTTTCCGCTATTGCACAACCATTTACTAGCGGGGCATATAGACTAGATTGGGAGAACCATTATTGTTTACGCTCATCAATCACATTTCAATAGAATGTACTGTAGAGTTT